CTGCAGTACAACGTCTCCGCGATACTCGAGCATCCCGCCCCAGCTACCGGTTGTCCCCAGGCGCCGAGTAGTTGGCACCGAGCGGAGACTCGGTGGCTGTTGGAGCAGACCAACGTCGAGCTGCACTACATCGACCAGGTGCCAGTTTGGGCAGGCCGCGCGAAAGCCAACGTGCCTGCTCGCGGCGCACCTCAGTGAACTCACGCAAGAGCTTGGAGCAGTGCCAGGTGGCCAGCTGTGCCGACACCGCAGACACGACCGAGCCTATGGACGCGACGGGCATGGCGGCTGGAGGACTGCTCCTCTCAAAGAATACCCTTCGATGTTGTGCAAGGCAATGGCAGCAGCCTTCGCAGCCCACTGGGGACAGCTCGCCGATGATGAAGCACTGTGGGCCGAGACAGACGAATATTTCCACGGCTTCTACGCGCCGCTGGACCACTATATCGAGCCAGAACAGCTGGGACACGACTGTCACAGGGAGTGGGGCAGTCATCGCCGCTAGCAGCATCTACAGTGTCGCGCTGTACTACTTCGACCAGAGCGGCGTGGTGGACCACCACAGGCTCGGGCCCATGGGCACAGGCTGTGCTACGGCGAACTGCACAACTGGATACGAGTGGAATTATGTTTGTAGTATACTACTATTTTGCTGTACAGATGGATTGCGAGATGGATTGCGTATGGATTACAGTGGGCTACAACTGATTTGCGAATGGAATTATCCGCAGTGGGTTTATAATTTGACCAGAAGATGGAGCGGTTTTGCTATTTTGCTGTGCACATCGACCGAGAGCACGATGACACACGGACCGATCGACTACGATTGCGTGCCATTCTCGAGGGGGGGGGGACCCGTAGCGCCCATGCGGGTGGGCACGATCCCTCAAAGGCGACGGAGCGTGCCTCCCCTCGGGTATTCTTACTGGTTTATCATTCTTGGCTCCTATGTTTTGATGCGTACATACCTACCTGGGTAAAGGTAATAAAGCACCCAGCTTATCATTGGACGTATTATGTTGTTTCTCAGCAGGTGGGCAGCAAGTTTGACTCGAGCAGCGCGGGTTTGGGCACTATATCAGCATGCAGCATAAGCCGTACTACCCCTGCCAGCATGTGGGAGTCGAGTACTACAGGTGCTGAGGAACAAGCAGCAATGTGTCGACCAGCTTGACGGTACTGAGCACGACCACGGCGGGTACTACAGCGCATACCGTGGCAAAGAGCGCCTGCGACGACGAGCACTTTGGCGTCGGGACTCAAGTCCTGAGGAAGCCCCGAATGCGTGGGAACACCTCGGGCAGCGTCGCCAAGTCTTGCATGGTGCCAGGGCGCAAGTCCTGGGGGGGGCCCCGAATGCGTGGGAAGACCCCAGGCACAAGTCGCTACGTTTTGCTGTATGTACTTTGGCATGGACCGTACGTATACAACTCAGTGGATACCAGCTGGCCAGACGGTGGGCGACTGCTACGAACATACCGCGCCACTCATCGACCACTACCACATCCCTGGTATGCCCTACCACACCTCTACAAGTCAACGCTGCCCTGGTGAGGCTTGGATCAAACTTCGAGACGGGCTCGAAGGGTGGGTGTGTGGGGGGGGGGGGGGGGGGGGGGGAAGGACGAGTACTGCCCGCGCCCACCAGGGGGGATGGTGAGGGGCAAGGGGGGGGGGGGGGGGTAGGACGTCACGTCCACTACCTGCGCCCCCGCGGTCCGCCCTAGCTCGTCACCCCCACCATCCCCATGGCGGAGGAGGTGCTACCCGAGCGCCCACTGGGCGAAGCGCAGGACAGCCGAGACATCCCACACCGACAGAACGCAAGCACCAGGCCTGGGGTTCGCCCCCACCGAGGGCACCGTGACCCCTAGCCATAGCGGGACGAGGTGGGGCCGCCGCGAACCCCACGTGAAGTCGGTGCGTGGAGGCCTCAATATGTGCGCCCACGCCCCACATCACAACTCCAGCAACAAGCCGATTGCCCAACGACCCTGACCAGCACGCACAAAAAGCATATACAATGGCGGGGGAGCTCTCCAACGACCTACCACGCAGCCAGCATTTCCCGCCACCACCGACGACTAGCACGTCTGAGCCGAGCACCACATGATGAGGACCATCGAGTCAAGCACCACCTCATCAATGAATGCGACTGGGTCGAGTACCACAGGATCGACGCCATACCTTCATGCTGTAAGCCGATGACCACCATGATTGAGTCGAACACCACAGCTCAGCAACTGACTATCAGCCGAAGGCCACCACCCGACTACCTACTACCACTACCCGCATCATCCTGATGACCACCATGATCGAGCCGAGTCACATCGTGAACTACAGCGCCAAGCTGTACCAAGGCGACCTGCACGTCTGCGGCGAGCAGCACAGCTCCGAGGGCCGCAGAGTCAGGCAGTGCAACATCGACCTGTACGACCGGGTCGAGTACTGCGGGTTCGCGCGCTACGGAGGCCAGCAGCACCTCTGGTGCGCGAGCTGCCGTGCGGCCGCCGGCCCACGAAGAGGCCGACGGCCTGGCCGCGTGCCGTGCCGCGCTGCCTGAGTGGGCGGCCGCGCGCGGCGCACGCTGAGGGCCCTGGCGGGCCCTATTCCTTTTCTTTTTGAGACCAGGCCCCTTCCTCCCCCTCCGTGATTTTAAGTGGTCCCTGGTCCTCCCCCTCCCTCGGGGTCGGGTTCCCGGGGCCGCCGTCTGAGTGCCCGCACGGCCCTGATCGGCCGCTGCGGAGCGCT